GTCTTATTAACACTATCAGTGAAGTCATCATGAAGAGCTCCTTTAAAAGTTGTAATGTTCAGTCCAGCTATGAGTTCCAAAAGGCTGACCATCCCAGGTCATAGTCCAAGACTGGCCAATTTGGAGAGTGTGACAGAATCGGGGAAAGTGTGAGCTAAATGTGTGCAAAGGGATGGATCTGCGCATCAGTGACTTACATCCAGATATGAGAGCAACACACCTAGGAGAAAATGGCCTGAAACTCAAACGTGGGGGATGCCCGAGTCTTTCTTCAGCACGATTACATAAATTTCTTCATTCTTCCCACAACATGAACCAGTGAGGTGTCAACAATACCAAATGTGGCTTACAGAATCCAGGGCAAGTTGTGGTGGGCCATCGTGAAGTGCGAGAGCCACTACTTCCCAGCAGCATCCAGGACACTGTGACGCCATGCTGCACACCCACTGTGCAGTGGCAGTGGAGAGATGCCAGAAATGTGACACGAGTGCCCTTAGTGAGTAGTGCACTCCATTTCCACATTTCTTTTGCTTGAATGAGATCCATGGAAGACAAGGGACTACTGGTATGAGCATATGCATGTCCGTGTCATCCGTATCCATGGCTGTATCTATGGCTATAGCTATGCCTGTGTTTATATCTATGTCTATGTCTGTGGTTATGCCCATGGCTATGTTTATGTCTATGGCTATGGCTGGGGGTATGCCTATGGCTATGTCTATGGCTATGTCCATGTCTACGGCTATGTCTATGTCTATGCCTATGCCTATGCCTATGGCTATGTTTATGGTTATGGCTATGGCTATGGCTATGGCTATGCCCATGGCTATGACCATTGCTATGTCTCTGTCTATGGCTATTCCCATGGCTATGTTTACATCTATGTCTATGGCTATGATCATGGCTATGTCTATGGCTATGTCTGTGTCTTGTCTATGTTCACGGCTGTGGCTCTGTAAGTTTTCAGACAGAGACCTGTATTAGGCTCAACTATAAGAGCTAAGATCTCTTGTATGTCCTGGCCTAAAAAAATACCCAGAAAACCTGGTGTAAGCCACAAATGATGATTATAAGATCTCTGTCTTCTACAAGTGCCTACTTACAATAACCATGCATGCCTTTCAACAACCCATAAACATTTATTGGACTTTTACTATGTCAGCCACAGAGCACTCTTGGGAGGATGAAACAGACACTGTCCCTATCCCCACAGAGTAAGCAGTCACATGGTTGCTCACTTTCTTTATCTCACTGTTCTTTAAAAACTTCCATGAAATTCCATCCTAGTCTATGACAGAAGGCCATGAAGCACAAACAGCAAAGGCATCACGAAAGGACACCACAACACACATGAAGTATGTAATGCCTGTCACGCACTTTTTAAAATCTCTCAATTAAAAAATCTGTGAAAAGACACATTTCATGGCAAAGTGTGGAGCATGAATCGTAGCCTGAGTTTAAGCCCCACCCACTGTTGGGGATTCACTCCCGTCTGGGCTGGTCAAGTGAGTCAGAGGGGTGTGGGGGCTTCCGTCAGTGAACTCATCCTCGAGGGAGAGGAACAGGGCATTTCACTTGTACGCCAGTGACCAGGCTTCCCTCTTGGGAAGGGAGGAGTGGTTCTGCATATACCCTTTGGTGGGCGGGCAGGTCACCCATGTGCCACCAGCCATGCCTTGGGGACTCATCTCTGAGCCTTGTGAAAAGAGGAACTGAGACCGAAGGTGAGGACAGTGTCTTCATGAAGAGAGAGTGGGTCCAGTGCTCAGCGGCCTCATGT